AAGAACAAAAAATATACATATATATATAGTAAAGATAGTGTTCGAACACCATATCCGAACACGAGAAACGAGATGCCATCCAGTATTTTAAAGAAGAAATACAGTGTCGAACACCATATCCGAACACGAGAAACGAGATGCCATCCAGTATTTAAATACAGTGTTCGAACACCATATCCGAACACGAGAAACGAGATGCCATCCAGTATTTTAAAGAAGAACGAACACCATATCCGAACACGAGAAACGAGATGCCATTCAGTAATTTAAAGAAGAAATACAGTGTTCGAACACCATATCCGAACACGAGAAACGAGATGCCATCCAGTATTTTTAAAGAAGAAATACAGTGTTCGAACACCATATCCGAACACGAGAAACGAGATGCCATTCAGTAATTTAAAGAAGAAATACAGTGTTCGAACACCATATCCGAACACGAGAAACGAGATGCCATTCAGTAATTTAAAGAAGAAATACAGTGTTCGAACACCATATCCGAACACGAGAAACGAGATGCCATTCAGTATTTTAAAGAAGAAATACAGTGTTCGAACACCATATCCGAACACGAGATGCCATTTAGTATTAAAACAAACACCATATTCGAAACTCAACATATACATACATACACCCCCCACCCGCCCCCCGCACGAAGAAAGGAAACAAGGGATCGACGGACAGTGTAAGTAAGTAAGTAAAGATACAGTGTACATACAGTGAAGATAAGACAGCGCCTGGGGGTCTGTGCGTATATATATAGTGCGGTATCGACCCAGCAGGATCTGGTAAGCTATTACTGTAGCTCGACCCAGACTGTTATTGCTGTCATTATTTATGGTTATTAGTCTTATTATTCTGGGTTCTGCTGCTTTACGGTTATTATTATTATTATTGTTATTACTATTGCTATTGTTATGACTATCATTATTACTCTCGCTGCTATTATTGGCGGTGATGTTGTTGTGATTATTATTTGGGTTGTTATTGTTGTGTGTGTGATGTGATCATTATCATCATCCATCATCATTATCATCATCATCATCATTATCATTATCATCATCACCATCACTAGCACACCATCATCATCATCATCATCATCATCATCATCATCATCATCATCATCATCATCATCATCATCATCACATCACCACACATCATCAACCACCACCATCATCACCAACCCACCACCACCACCACCACCACCACCACCATCATCATCAATCATCATCATCATCATCATCATCAATCATCATCATCATCATCACCACCACCACCATCACCACCCACCACACCACCATCACCACACACCACCACCACCACCACCACCATCACCATCACATCACCACCACCATCATCACCACCACCATCATTATCATATTGATTTTTCCTGAGCGTATCCTCACATTGTGCCCTTGTGGTTGTTATTATCATAGCCATTGTTATTGATTTTGTTATCGTTATCGTTATCTTTATCATTATTATGATTGATGTTATCAGTTTCTTATTACAGCAGTTATTTACTACTATTATTATTATTATTTTATTATACTATTATTAGTGTTATTATTATTATTATTATTATTATTATTATTATTATTATTATTATCATTATTATCATATCATTATATTATCTATTATATTATTATTATTATTATTATTATTATTATTATTTTATTATTATTATTATTATTATATTATTGTTATTATTATTATTATTTTATTATTATTATATTATTATTATTATTATTATTATTATTATTATTATTATTATTATTACCATTATTATCATCATTATTGTTATTATCATCGTCATCAAATTCCCATGCCGTTATTATGCAATTTTGTCATAATTATTCCAAAACAATTTCCATCAGCTGTTATTAGAATTGCAATAGCTGTGTCACCATAGATAGTTACCGTCGTGTAGTTGTTATTGTTACTGTCAGTTATTTTCATAATTACTGCTTTAATTGTTATTAGTGTTGCTGTTTTAATTATATAATTACTGTTCATTGTCTTATATCATTATACATTGGCAACATTAATATCGATTTACTCTGTTATTTGTTTTTGTTTTTTTAAGCGAGGTTAGAGCGTCTGTTCCCGCGTTCGACTCCTTTCAACGTATCGAGTTGTTTTGTTGTTTTTTTTATTCTCTTTTCGCTCTCTCTCCCTCTCTCTTTCGTCGCGGCATTTCGATCGACAGCACCATCGGCAGGATTAAGATTGCGAGGCTCCTGGTGGTGGAGAGGACGTGTTATTGATTATTATCTCACGTGGGGGGAGATCACAAACCTTCCGGCAGCTGTGATCGCTGGGGACATTGATCCAGGTTTCGGACTAAGGAAGTCGGACGCGGGGCCGTGTGTCGGATTACGGAGGTTTTGCACTTTTATGAAAAGTTTCTCTCTCTCTCTCTCTGTCTTTTTCTTTTTCTCTCTTTTTTTTTGTGTGTTGGAGAGGGAGGGAGGGAGGTTGTGAGTAGGCGAGGGTCATAATTGTGATGATGATAATGCGCCCGAGAATGATTGATATGACATTTTCTTTTCATGGCATTGCGGGGCCCCTAGTAACGATTATTGTTATTATCATTGTTATTGTTATTATCATAGTTATTGTCCCGACCCCGCTACAGCCACCCTCCTGCCGGTGTTGCCACATTCTTATTATTGGCGTCTTTTATTGTTTCGTTTCTTTTTCTCTTCGGTTTTCCGCTGTGCGCTGTTATTTCCGAGCTTAACCTTCGCCAGTCGCGCCGTGCGGGGAGGCAGCCGCCGCCACAGCGTCCTCGAGGGGCTGGAAGCGCAGGAATCGTTCGAATCTTGCGCGATAAAGGGTCCGAGAGAGACTGACTGGCAACATCGTGGAGCTAATGCCATTCTGGGGAACACATTTCTTTTATGGTCGCTGTCACTATTTTCACACCGGGCAGATGCTGCTTTTGTTTCATTCAGGCTCCGACTTGTCTAAGAAGGAGCCTCGGAGGCCCGGCCGTGCCCCCGTCGGCAGATACACGGGGGCGTTCGAGTGGGCATTGCCCCTCCTTCCCCCTTTTCTGCCAGATATAGAGGGAGGGAGCGTCAAGTAGGGTAGAGGGATCTCATGCAAGCCTGAGGTGTGGTCAGGTACTGGGGAGGTGAAGGTACTGGGAGAAGGAGGAGGAGGAGGAGGCGGAGGAGGTACTGGGGGAAGGAGGGAGGGAGGGAGGGAGGGAGAGGTACTGGGCAAATTTCTGCCCCACACCTGTCACGCCTCCATCATGCTCCAGCGCTGATGAGATGGAACCAAGATGATGAAATTTCTTCTTTTTCTCCGTGAAAGTGTGGGGGGGGGGGGATGATGATGCCGACGAGAGAGCGGGTGTGTGTGTGTGTGCGTGGCTCAGGAAATAATTTGGGAGTTGCGCGCGGAAATTAGACATTGCAGAACAAACTAATGTCCGTAATTAGATGTTGATAAGTTTGTTGGTCTCTGACTCATTTATGCGTTCTAAGGGCCTTTCCCTCCCCCTCCTCCCCCTCCCCTCCCCCCCCTTCTCCCCCCTCTCTCTCTCTCCCTCACTCTGAAAAGTAATGTGATTTGTTTTTTTTTTGTGGCGAAACGGAGTCATTTTGTGTAGCGGTGTTGCAGGAAGAATTAAACAGGTCCTTTTACAGCGAAAGGCGAAATAGTTATCGTAGTTTGAACGATGTTTGTTGACTTAGACAGAAGACAAAACAAAACACGGACAAGGTCGTCTCTATCGGAATAATTTTTTTTTACCGAAACCCACCGACAGGTTTTCTGCATATCCCGCATAAATGTTTCATTCGTAAACAAAGAACTGTGTTGTTGTGTAAAATCTTAGAGAGAGAGAGAGAGAGAGAGAGAGAGAGAGAGAGAGAGAGAGAGAGAGAGAGAGAGAGAGAGAGAGAGAGAGAGAGAAATAGAGAAAATAGTATATATATATATATATATAGAGAGAGACGAGAGAGAGAGAGAGAGAGAGAGGAAAGAAGGTCGTTGTCGAGAATGTTGGTGAAACGAGGGAGTTGATGATAGGACCATTAATTGATAAACAAACCGGGCGAACGGAAGAAAGGAAAGGAATAGAGAAAAAATCGATCGGCGAACGAGGAAGAGAGAGAGAGAGAGAGAGAGAGAGAGAGAGAGAGAGAGAGAGAGAGAGAGAGAGAGAGAGAGAGAAGAGAGAGAGAGAGAGAGAGAGAGAGAAACAGACAGACAGACAGACAGACACAGAAAACAAACAGACACCAAGAAATAAAAGTAGATAGCGCGAGAAACACGCAGAGGTAGAGAGAGAAAGAGGAAAGAAACGTAAGATATAAATTATACATTACGAGGTGGATAGAGAGAGCAAATAAGAAGGAATAATGCATGCGGAGAAGCAAGGAAGATTACGAAGGAGATATGGAGAGAGAGAGAGAGAGAGGGAGAGAGAGATAGTGACGCGGGAGTGGTGGAGATTAAGCTGGGCGAGATCGCACGGTTTATTAACTTAAACATACTTAAAGAGTCCGTTATGTCGATGATGAAATTGAACAGAGAAATGTGTCCGTGTGTGTGTGTAGCGAAAGAATCGCTCGATGTCGAACCGCGGTTTCTAAAACGTGTTTACTAACGAGGTCAGAACAGTTGATGAAGTATTCAGGTTTGTTATCATGATCCTTATATTTTATATTCTGTAATATTGCCTCCCACACACAAACTATCATTAGGCCCTGCCATTACCATCGTCATTTCCTGGTGCGTCATCAACGTAATGATCATCATCATCATTACCGGCGGTCGTTTGGGTCCGACGCGGCCCGCGTAATGATGATGATAATGGTGATGATGATGATCAGGCGCCTGATGGCGGGGTGCGGGGGGCTTATATCGGGGTCGCGCTGACTTGACGATCATCAAATGATAATGGGTTCCATAGGGGCGGATGTTGTAAGTTTTATCAGCGGGATACGACCTTAGTGACGCTCTGAAGTTGGAGGGGCGCATGCGCACAGCAGTTAACGCAAATGTTTTGAAGCTGCGCCCGCGTTCCCGCCAGTCCAGAGCCGCGACCGCGTCGAACTGTTGTGTTATTTGGTGTGTTGGTGGTTGTGAGAGATCGCTGCGTGTCGCGTCGGCGCCGGACTTTTCGCGTGGTAGTCTTGGTCGAGTGTCTTTGCCAACATGAACAGTGAACGTGCAGGCGTGGGTAGTGAGTCCCCGCAGCTGCCCCCAGCTCCGTACCAGCTGCCCCCGCATCAGCTGTTAGGCCTGGCGGGGTTGGTTGCGGGTGCGGGAATGGGTACTGGCATGCCCAACAACATGAGCATGGGCATGGGCTCCAGCATAGGCACGGGCCTGGGCTCGAGCATGGGCACGGGCATGGGCGCCAGCATGGGCTCGAGCATGGCCAGCAACAGCAACACGTCGCCCTCGAACGCCTCGCCCTCCAACGTGGCGCGCGGCCTCCCGCCCGCCGTCACTTCTGCGGGCGGAGTGAGCGACTCGCTCATGCCGGGGGTGGCCGGCCCCAGCAGGCCGCCCCCGCTGCCCCCGGGCCTGATGAACATGAACCTGGAGGTCTCGCCGGGCATGCCCTGGGGCAGCTGGGCCGACCTTCAGGACAGCATGGGCATGGAGCGCGGCCGCTCGCGCAACTGGACCTACGAGGAGACGCTGGAGCTGATCACGCTGTACACGAGCGACGAGTGGCAGGCCAAGTTCAGCAGCGAGAAGAAGAACCACCGGGCCATCTGGGCGGGCCTGGCGGGGGCGCTCACCCGCAGGAAGGACGTGTCGGGGGACGAGGCCCGCCAGCGCCTCAACAACCTGAAGGCGCTCTACAACCGCACGCGCAGGCAGCTGCTCGCAGGCGAGATCTCGTCGCCGCAGTGGGAGTACTGGGAGCCCCTGCACGCCTTCCTGGGCCGCCCTCAGCCCTACATCCCCATCACCACCAGCTGCACCCCGCCGCGCCCCCCGCCCCTCCACGGCTTCCACCAGCACCAGTTCCAACCCCAGATGCACCACCACCACCCACAGGGCCTGCTGGGGGCGCTCGGACTGTCGCCGCAGATGCACCACCCGAGGGCCATGCCTCCTAGGCCTATGTTCAAGGTGTGTAGACTCGCTTTCAGGGGTTTTAAAAGTTTTCGTCTCGTGCAGGTGTGCGCGCTCCCCGATAAGCTTCAAGTGTATTGCCCTTACAACATGTTATTTCCTAACTGGTGTGATCGATAGTATAACTGTATATAAATGTTTATATATATATGTGTGTGATTTATATATATACATATATATATATATATGTGTATATATGTATGTATACATATGTATGTATACATGCTTGTGCATTGATGTTTGTAAATGAGTGAATGAGTGCATGTGTGTGAGAGTGAGTGAGTGAGTGAATGAGTGCGTGTGTGTGTGTGTGTGTGTGTGAATGAGTGCGTGTATGTGTGTGTGTGTGTGTGAATGAGTGCGTGTGTGAGTGAATGAGTGAGTGCTTGCGTCGTGTGTCTGTCTGCCTGTCTGTCAGCCGATGGCATAGGCGTCCGTGCGTTTGTAAACATCGCCTAGGCCTAGGCCGCCCCGATCCCGCCGTCGAGACCCCGGGGGCGTGCGTCCGTGAAGAGGCGCCGTCGCCACTCGAGCACCACACCGGGGCGTTATCGTACTGTTCGTGTTATTGCCGCCCCCTTGATATTGCCTCACATCACGTTATCGAGGCGGGGCGGCGGCCGTCATCGTACCCTACATATATAAATTTTTACTGTTCGAACTTTTTTTGAGAGTTTTGGATCCCTGTCTCCCGTTTTGTTTTTTTGGTTGGAAGGGTGTTTTCTCTCTCTTGTGTACGTCTTGCTGTGTGTACTGTGTGTGTGTGTGTGTGTGTGTGTGTGTGTGTGTGTGTGTGTGTGTGTGTGTGTGTGTGTGTGTGTGTGTGTGTGTGTGTGTGTGTGTGTGGAGATGGATACAGTAGTGTAGAAGGATGTGTGGATGTAGTTGTTTGGTTAGGGAGGGTTTGATCACTCGGTTTCGTCGCCGCCACGTGGTTCTCTGTCTGTCTCTCTCTCTCTCTCTTTCTCTTATCTTGTGCGATGAATTACTGAGTCATCTTTCAGTCTCTCTCTGTCTCGCTCTCTCTGTCTTTGTGTCTTGGTCTGTCTGTCTGTCTGTCTCTCTTGGTCGTCTATCGCTCTCTCTCGGCCGTCTCTCTCTGTCTCTATCTTTCTTTCTTTCTCTATCTCTCTCTCTCTCTCTCTCTCTCTCTCTCTCTCTTTCTTTCTTTCTTTCTCTCCCCTCTTTCTCCCTCTCTCTCTCCTCTCTCTCTCCTCTCTCTCTCTCTCTCTCTCTCTCTCTCTCTCTCTCTCTCTCTCTCTCTCTCTCTCTCTCTCTCTCTCTCTCTCTCTCTCTCTCTCTCTTCTCTCTCTTCCCTCCTCCCTCCCTCCCTCTCCCTCTCTCCCTCTCCTCCCCTCTCTCTCTCTCTCTCTCTCTCTCTCTCTCTCTCTCTCTCTCTCTCTCTCTCTCTCTCTCTCTCTCTCTGTCTCTCTCTCGATGCGTTTGTTACATTCTTGTATATGCTTTGTTACGTGTTGTGAAGTTGAACCTTCCCCCCCCCTTCCCGACCGAGAGCGTCTGTGTGTGTCTGGGTTTCTGTCTCTGAAAACCCGGCATATACAAGCCACTCCCATTTCCTGTTCTTAATCATCATCATTATCGTTTTCGGCTTCGTCATCATCGTTGTCATAATCATCGTCATCGTTGCCGGGCGCCGCAGCTGGATTGCATTATCGCAATCGGATTTCGCCTCTATGACGGGGCGTCGTTAGGGTCGGACTTCATCGACAATGGGGGGGGGAGGGAGACGCCAGCGATAATGTGCTGTCATTAGAGAAGCAGTACGTTAATATAACCACTGTAAGAACGAAGAAAAAAGAAAAAAAAGGAACACCGTTAGTCTACCATAACCTCGCTATTCCATCGACCTCACTCTTTATTAATGATCGACGGGGCTACAACTGTCACAACCTCCGCGGGGTCGTATTCGCTCGGGTTGTGGTGGTTGTAGTCGGTCGATAATTATAATGAGGATTGGGGCGAGATACGAGGCTTATCATAACCGCGTTTCTTCGTTGTAGTCGGAGCGGTATCAACTTTTATCTATGTGGGATCTTTTTTTTTTTTTACAACATACACGTTCGCTATGTTCTATAACACAGACGTACAACCTTACAGCTCTTCTATAACAAGTTTGTAAGGCGACGGCAGAACCTCGCTACCCGTAATAAAACCACAATCGCATAATTTGACTTCTCCGCTCTTCTACAACAATAACAACCTCCTTTTCTACAGCTATCCCGTAACCTCACAACCGTTTCAGTACAGGAGTGACAGCCACACCTCCCCTCACTTTCCCCCCACTTCACAGCAACCAAACCCCACAACCTCACTCCCTCATCTTCTACCACGACGGCAATACGACCCCAACAACCCCACAACCATTTCATCACAACCCCTCCCCGCCTCTACAGCAACCACAACCCCACACAACCTCACTTCCTCAACAACCTCACAACCATTCCATCACAACAATCCCAACAACCATTTCATCACA